TCTCTGGAATGTTTTGGTGGAAGCTGAGCGGTAATGCCCTCCACTCCACTTGATGATGTTTTCTGCCCCGAAGTGTTGCAGAATCTTATCTGGCATGGCCTTCTTGTGGACCTGGATGTTCAGGTTATTTGTCCTCTTCATCAACTCCAACTGAGCTATGTTATCTAGGCGGTGTATTTTCTTGTGCTTACTGTCTTGCAATGATTTTAATTCATTGTTTATATTTTTTTGTTTCTATTATTGCAAGAACCCTCCTTTTTTGGGGTTGTGTTCTTCACTTTATATCTCGTATTTTCCCCATTTGTTAATGAAACTGTTGTTTGCTAATAAAAAATAAAAAATAAAAAATAAAAAAACTATATGCCTATGATACACATAAAATTGTAAAATGAATTTTGGGCTTTGGGCTACCTTAGGGCTATAGGGCTGTGGTTTGTTTTTGGGCCTCCCATAAATCCATAGAAAAAACCATTATGACACCAAAATATCATCGCCCACTGAGTTCGTTATTCCACCACTGACACAACTCATTTCCAAATGTTTCTTCGGTTACATTCAGATTATTAATTGGAAAAAAACGTTGTGAAATGTTAAGGGACCGTTTGGCTACTAAAAAAAACTCAAAAATCAAGATTTGTTTTTAAAAAAAATATGAGTTTTTAATATTAATTTTATGATCTAAAAACTTGTTTCGTATTCAACTCCAAACCATTTTTGAGATTTAAAAAAAATTGAAATTAAATCAGAGAATCAGAAACCCTAATTCCCAAATTGAAATTAACAAAACAAAAGGAGAGAGAGAGAGAGAGAGAGTAAAACCTCACTTTTTTGTTTTCAATAATAGGGGTGTTTTTGAGTTTTTTTTGGGTTTGGGTTTTTAAATTCCTTACCATCCATGTCTTAGCCATGCCCGAGTCACCTTGATGGCTCTTCATGCAGGGTCGGCTGGGGGACGCTAGGAAAATCCTCGACAAAACCTCAGACTCCCTAGAAGAGTCCAAGCTTAGGCTAGCTGACATCAAAGAAGTCGTTGGCATCCCCGAACACTACAACAACGATGTTTTTGATGTCAAGAAACGCAACCAAGGCCAAGACGTGTGGAAAGAGTTGCTCTTTCATCCAACACTAGTCATCCATCATATTTTAATCTCAACCGTTGGTTTACACTTCTTTCAACAAGGGTCGAGTATAGACGTCATTGTTTTGTACAACACAAGGATCTTCGAGAAGGTTGGGATCACCAACTCCGATAAAAAGCTACTCTGCACCATATTCGTCAGGACAATTTTCATCATGGTCGTGACATTTATGCTTTATCGGATTGGAGGGCGTCCGCTACTTCTAACTAGCGTGGCCGGCATGGTAGTCTCACTCTCTTTTTACCCCAAAAAGCTAAGTCAAACATTAGTGAGTTGTCGGCTAATGATTGGGGCGGTAATGAGACAAAATTTGACAAAAAATCTATAGATGGGCAAGTGTGAGACTCACGTGAGAATTTTAAATTATGTGGCAGTACACATGTGCCTCAACAAATGACTAGTCATGTGACTTGATTAGTCATATCCTAATGCATTTTGATGCATGAAATGCATAATTTATCTTTGAGTCGTTTTGTCATGAGCTGCAATTTGTCCGAGTCATAGTAGCCCTCTTCAACCTAGTCTAACCTAGACTAAGTAAGTTTGAGCATGATGATTTACAATTTGAAAATATAGTGTTTTCCAATGAAGCGAAAGGAACAAAAATTGCTAAGCAGCATGGGCATTAAACTTGCACCATACTGTAAATAAAAGTAAATAATGTTGTATGGGTTTTAAACCTACACCATACTGTAAATTAAATTAAATGTTATTGTATAGGTAATAAACATACACCATAATGTAAATAAAAGTAAATGTAAGAATAAAACCGCCACCTAATAATAATCATTTTACTAACTGTAAAGCATTAGTAAAGGATCAAACCTTTAAAACAATTTTTAATTCTTTAAAGTATTTAAGTGTAAAAGATTATTTTACTAACCATTTTTTTTCATATTGGAGTGGGCTCCACTTTTCCACATCACACACTCAAATTGGTGGGTAATGATCCATGCGTACTAGATTACAAAAATACTCCTACCACATTATTAAAATTAAGAATTTTGGATGGAGTTGATGATAGGGGCCAACGTGGGACATTAAACTTTAGTCAATGGGTCAAAGTGGCTCACTTTAACTTCTAGTGGGCAAATTGAGATTTGACCATAGTTTCAGGGAGCACTGTAGTAAATACGCATATCGGAAATGAGTATTTTGTATTTAATTTTTTGGTTTGATAGCTTATTAAAATTAAACAAAAATGGTTCAAACTGAGAGAATCACAAAAGTACAGAAGGACTACAAGCTGACTAATCGGGACTGATTACTTGATTAGAAAACAAAACATGGGGATCGGGTGGGAGATGACGTCAATTGATGGTGGATGGAGGCAAAACAACTTGGATCTCTGTCTCATCTTTCGGCACTTCCTCTTCAACCGCCTCATGCGCTTCTTTCCACTTGACTCTCATGCTGACGATGAAACGAAGTTCACTTCAAAGAAGGCTGCGGGGAAGGGAACAAGATATCTTATTTATTTAATGTTTTAGTGGATTTATAGCATTTGAAACTTGTAAAGAATAAGTTAATGTAAGAAAATAGTCAAAATGCAATGTGAGTTGCTAATTGGAGTTTTAACCTAGTTTTGGGAGTTTGCATCCTCGATGAGACCCCTACCTCGATGGGAAATATCCTTCTTGATGATCTGTTGGGGATTGCTAGACCCCGATTGATTTTTGCTATTTAACTTTGCTTGTTGCCCCACTATCATCAAAAAAGAAAAAATTCAGTAAGACTGCATGTACAAAAACAACGTGATATATACAACTGAAAAAGCCTATTGGCACGTGCGAAAACGTAATGGAAAATGCAGATTTGTGCGGAATTCATACAAAACACGACCCGCATGATGCAGATTTTCCTTCATAAGTTTGTCCCATTCTAGATGAACTCCTGTCTTCTTCACCCTCCCAAAACCAACTTGTTTTACACAAATTTCGAGACTAGGTCCCCGTCTTGCAAACGGAGCATATCGTTTGACGCTTGTCCCTGCCAAAGATAATCGCCTTCAGGTTCTTGACTGGAAACCTCTACCTAGGCAATTGGTATCACGGCCAAGAAATTAGTTCCCTTGATAAAATTTATAACCATCATGCCAATACAACATTTAGAATCTATAGGTCTTGTGGAGTCTGAGGAGTAAACGAAGCACACAGTCAACCCTTCTAAATTATTGGCCGACAATTATTTGAGGAACGTCAAAAGAGCCTCCATTGTTCACATCATTGGCAAACTCGAACCACTCAGGAATACCATAAATTCCATTCAGAAAAATTCCACCAGATCATTCATATGATTAAGCAACACATTAATACATCATATACGTAAATGTGTGGATGTGCCATTCTGTGGATTGTGTCTCAGAGAGAGAGACAGAGAGAATTGACCTGTAGGATGTTCTTCCTAAACTCATAAGTGAGATTGGTGCAGCCTTCCATATGAATCCGTGTCATGAAGTTTAATGCCTTGTCCAAGCCTGGAATCTCAGTGAGTTTGAACGAATCACTTAGATAAAATTCTCTCATATTTGACATTTTTGAAAAATCTGGCATTGTTTCTAATGCTGTGCACCCAAAGCCTAGGCTTAAACATCTTCCCAAGTTTAAAACTTAAACAGATGCCAAATACAGGTGATCAGAACATAGTAAAATTTAGATTTTCCTAGAAGCAATACGAGTGCCTGTGTAGAGCATTCATGCTGATACAGTGATGCCAAACACTTCACTTGTAAATCCCATAACATAATAAATGGATCCACGTATAGCCGCGCGGCTATACCCGGTTTTTAATTTTTTTAAGAAATAGTATAGCCGGACGGCTATACACTTTTCTAATTTTTTGAAAAGAAATAGTATATCCGCACGGCTGTACTCGGTTTTCCTAATTTTTTTTAAGAAATAGTTTCGCCGGGAGGCTAGACTCGGTTTTAGATTTTTTTTATTTTTATAAATAGTATAGCCGTCCGGCTTTACTCGGCTCTTTTTTTTATAAAAAAACTCGGTTTTTGCCCTTGTTTCAAAAAATAGTATAGCCGCGCGGCTATACCCGGGTTTTTATAAATTTTTTTAAAAGTCGGTTTTTCCATTTTTTGAAAAGAAATAGTATAGCTGCGCGGTATTACTCGGCTTTTCTATTTTATTTTATTTAATAAATAGTATAGCCGCGCGGCTATACCCTTTTTAAAAAAAAAAAAAAATAAATAAATAAATTCGACTTCATCCAGTCCCCCCTCATACCTAATGGAATCAAGAATTCAAATAACCTCAGCAACAAGAGAATGTACATAACTATCATATATATGAGATCAAGGTAATCACGGTCTGTAACACACCATAATAGATAAGACAGAAGTCCCAATAAAATGCTGAAATCAAATAGAAACATAGTAACATGATTAAAGGGCAATACACAAGAAATATACCTACGAAACTCATGCTCTTTATGCTAACAGACTTCGATCTACAACTATATCTTAATGCTGCTGTAGCCAGTCAACAAGTTCAATTTGAAATAGTCCGGTGGTTTCGTTTGGTCTTCATACTCAAACAGTCCACATTCTTGAGCTATATGCTCATCTTTACTGCATGCTAACGCATTTGCAGCAACATAACTTCAAGCTTAACAAGAATATACACGAGAAAGAAGAGTACGAAGCAAACTTCCAATGGAAGAGTGGCAATCAGTGGAGCACAAGCTTCATTTGTCAAAGATTTCTCGGTCGGAAGAAATATAGTCTTAACCTATAAAACATCAAAACAAACATATATACAGCAATTAGCACCCAACACCAAGCAGAAAACACCATCCTAATTCCAACACTCAAAGAGACCAAAATGAAAGACACAAATTTGCAATACCTTGTCCTAGTTCTCTTCAATTTCAATTCCTCCACACTCCGAAAAGCTCAAAGTGGATCCAAGCCTTTCAGAAACAATCGAAAGGTAAAATTCTTGATCATGAGGCATAAATGGCTCCACTATAGTACGTATAAACGTCGTTATAGGCGCCTTACAGCCTCCCATCTCAACCTTTTTCCAAATTCACCCAAAACCCATCAAACAAAACATCCAAAAATTCAATCTTGAACAATTGGGTTCGCAACAAACGATCAAAATCAGAAAAATAAAAAATCGGATGGCAATTACCTCCTTGCCAAGACGCTGCTTCACAAACTCGGCGACCTGAGCCATATCCAAATTGAGAGCAACAAGGCCACTCTTCCCGCGCTTCCCAAACAACATATCGGGCTTCACCACGAGCCTCGTCGACGACAGCCATGTCTCCGCTTGCAGAACTGTCAAATTTGTTGGTAAATCTGGCATTGCAGTAAGGTTTATGCAGTCATCTAAACACAATTTTTGAAGCTTTGAAAGACCACCGAGGCTTGGTAGCCTACGAAAACCATTGTTTCCAAGATTTAAATCTGCTAAGGAAATTAGCCTCCTGAGATCCTTAGGGATTGCATCTTCAGTTAAGCTGCAGCCTGCAAGAGCTAATTCCCTTAAAGAGCCATTTAAGGAAGGGGGCAAAAGATGCGTTGACGGTGACCCTGTCACACCACATACAGATGAAACTCTCAAGTTGTTCAATTTTACTATGAAAGATGGTATTTGTCCTATGGCTGTGTTATCTGCTCTGAGCCATGTCATTGATACCATGTCCCCTAAGCCATCATCCAAGTTTTCAAATCTTGAACAACCATTAAGTACAAGAGTTTCAATAGACTTGGAACTATAGAAATTCAGTGGGAGATCCTTGAGCATTTCGCAGTCTTGAAGATTTACCAAAGCAAGTCTTCCTAGATCCCCAATGGATGAGTGAACCTCAAGCAAACTCTTACAACCTTTCAATATCAACTTCTCGAGATTCGGGAATTTCGAAAAGTCTTGTGATTTTGTTATGTCATTATCATTTTCAAGATAAATATGGTTATCAGAGATGCCATGGGCGACGTTGATTTTGTTAAGTTCTGCTAAAGCATTATTCACTTGACTAACCCACAAAGATGGCCGAAGTTTATACGTACCCACCAAGATGATAATCATTCATATTTTCGTTCATAAATTTGTCCTAGACTAGACTAACCCCTATTCTCTTCACCTTCACAAAATCATCCATAGGTACAATGCCAATCACGTCATCGTCACCGTCTTGCAATTTGAGCACGTCATTTGATAGCTGTCCCTGCCAAAGATAGTCATCTTCAAGTTCACAGGTGTTTCTTACCGAGGCATATGTAATATAGGCGGACAAGTCAGTACCCTTGGTCAAATTTTCGACGGTGATGTAAATAGGAGCTGTAGGTTTGGAGTCTGAGGAGTAAACGGAGGACAGAGTTAACCCTTTCAAATTACGACCAACACTTTGAGGCACAACGATTAACAAAATTATCATGGAGACTGTCACCACCGACACAGTGGAACCAATCAGGAATATCATAAATTCCATTAAGAAAAATACCATCAAATCCGCAAGAAGTCCATCCCTATACCATGTACAACAGCCAAATTTGTATAATAAATATATTCTTATGCATGCATGTGTACATGTACATCTGTGTATATATAAAGGCAGAGGCTGATGCATAAGAGTTTAGCCATCAATAATGTCTTTGATAAGTACATTTATTGTCTTTAATAAGTACATGCGTTAGTGGATGATTATGAAAAGTTGCAATTATGAGTTAAGATTAATGTGAGGAGTTGATGTATCCATGTGATGTAATGTATCAAAGGTAGTAAGCGTGAGTTGTACGTAGTAGAATTGTTTCAAGTATCAAATTTTATTGAAGTTCTCTCAAGTAAGTTTGTGTAGGAGCTCTGTGTAGCATTTGGTCTTCACATCTCCATAAATTATAGTATTTCTTTAATTATGCTATATGATTTGAGTTGAATTATAAATTTTTCATTGCTTCTTATATTTTTTAAATATATTTCAAACATACTCCTAGAAAATACTGTACAGGATTCATCTAGTTGCGGATTCACAGGAGGGTGTATCTTAGGGTTTAGGGTACAATATGGGGAATTTGGTCGAGGGCATCCAACAACTTATGTTACAACTCCAGGTACAACTGCAGATAATAGAGATTGGGGTCCAACCTCAGTGGGGTAACAGAGTGACTCATTCCTTGGGGCAGTTTGGTATACGGGTGGAGAATATGTTTATTTGGGAGGATGTGGCTCCACCTCGGTTGATTATACTAGCTAAGAGCAGTTCCAGCAGGCTGCGGGGGCCTAAGCCCTAAATTCGTCTTCCAGCGGGCTGAAGCCGCCAGGGCAATTGCTGGGGCCCACAAAACCAGACCAGCTGTCAGGCAAAACGAGCCCGTGCTCTAGTCTGGGTTTGCTGACGTCATCAACAACAACACAAATTTTAATCGAAAAAAAATCTACAAAAAAATTCAGAATTTTTTTAAAATAAATACTTAGTCATATTCTTCATTTCCCACACCAAAACTCTATACAAATTCCTCTCCTCATATCTCATGTGAATAGTTGTTGTCATGGCAATGGATGGAAACACCACAACCTTTTGCAAGGGTTGCCACTATTCACGTGAATAGTAATAGCTCTTTCCTTGCCCTTGCCGCTTGCCATGGCAAATGGGTGGAAGTGCCCTAAAGAGGGTAGCATTTTGGGATGGTGGATGTTGTGGTATTTTTTTTCTTGACCGGAGATTTTCTCCCACTAGGGTTTTTAAGATAAGGTTTTAATGAGGTGACTTAGTTTGCATCCAAGATTACTGCTAATTGTAATATGTTTTTACATGAATGAAGTTCGTTTCTTTGATAAAATAAAAAATACTTTACATATTTAATAAAAAAGAAAATTAGCGGGTGCTCTTGCCAAGTGTCATTGAAAGAGAGAGGGAGGGAGGGAGAGAGAGAGGGTTCGTACGGATTTTTTGTGATTTTCAGGGTTTTAAGTAAAAATAGTGCAATTAAACTAAACGTGCGTTTAAACGTAAAGACAAGAATTAAAGTATGATAAAATAAATCAAAGCGATAAATAAAGCAAGAACGAAATAAAAGCGATAAGAACAATAAGAACGATAAACTAAATTAAACTTAATTAAAATGCGATAACAATGAAAAGTAAAGCAATTGAAATAAACTTGAATTAAAATGACAAGAAAATATAAATTGAACAAGAATTTAAACTTACACTAGGAAAATAAAGAACTCGCTACACTAGGTGCTTGAAAAGTAAAATCTTAAGTCTAGGAAAAGAAAAGTGCAAGATGAAAAAATAGGTTTGTTTGTCTGATGGTGTGTGTCTTCTGCCTTCGTTGAGCAAGGTTTATATAAGACGTCCGTAAGCCCATGGGCTAGCCATTGAATGGCCAAAGATCAATTCCCTTAAAATTCTTTCCTTTTGAAGCCCCTAAATCTGTGGATCACGTCGGCAGAGATATTATGGTTGCTTAATTTTCTCTCGTTTTGGAAAATTCTGAATCGTCATCAACCTCCTTGATTTCTTTCCTTGTGAGGCCTCCGTCACATGCACATTGACCTCCAAAAATCTTGGGCACGAATCCGTGACTTGGGCTTGGACCTCCGAGATTTCATCTTGACATCTGGTGAAACCTCATGCCCTTTTAGTTTTTAGAATTCTAGAGTTGGCTGACCATTCGCCAAGGTGGGTAGTATGGAAGCTCCAAATATTTGGATGTTGGGCTTGGCCCTACGTTGAACTATCTTTGAGTTCTCAAAATATTCGAATATTGGGAACTCGGCTGACATACCTCCAGCCGAACTTCAACTCCCTCGGCGAAAATACTTCCCACTAACTCCCTCGACGGAAATACCTCCCATCGAACTTCAACTCCCTCGGCCCAACTTTGCTTGCCTAAGTGTTGCGAGGAGGGCGCCCGGGTGCGCAGGGAGAAAATCCACCCCGACCCAACTTTTTGCAAGAGAAGTGGCCGACCAAGGTATTTAAGGAGTGCTCGGCCCAACTTTGAGAAGTGTCCGGCCACTTTTGCAAAAGGAAGCATTCGGCCAATTTTGCAAAAGGAAGCATTCGGCCAATTTTGCAAGGATATGCTCGATCACTTTTGCAAAGGGAAGTGCTCGGTCATATTTTTGAGAAGGCACCACACCACAGCCTTTGAAGAAAACACATCGGCTGCATTTTTGAGAAGGCACCATCGCCTTTGAAGAAAACGCATCGGCCACCTTTTTTAGAAAGCACCTCGGCCGCTAGGAATTCTCAGCAGCTAGGAATTCCGCTGCTAGGAATTCTCGGCCACTAGGAATTGCGCCACTAGGAATTCCTCCTTGGCGGATTGGATGAATTTTGACCACCCCCAAACAGATCCTAACCATACTCAATGGAGAGAGAGAGAGAGAGAGAGAGAGAGAGAGAGAGAGAGGGGCAATTAAAGGGATCAAAATTGAAAGGGGCAATTAAAGGGATTGAAATTCAAGGAAATTCAGGTTCTATTCCAAAATAAATTAGCAGAATAGCCTTACTTCTTATGAGCTTAATGGTGTTAGATGGATCTCGAGCCTCTGCATATAAGCACTATACATTTATCCGTATTTCAGTAAATATAAGTCATTCAAACAATCTAATTACTTAACATACTGTTTGCCAAACTTGGTTTGCCATATGGTGTTAACAATAATAATAAAGTGTGCTCGCGAGAGAGGAAAAAAGCACGTGTGGTGAAGAATCTTGAAGTTCTCCGAGAATTACTCCCTTAACCCGGAAATTCAAGCGAAAGAGAGAAAAGGATTGTAAATCCTTGAGCACAAAGGTGTAGTGTGTGCCAAAGAGCCTCTAATGCTTAGGTTATTTCTCAAATAAAAAATTAAGGTTATTCCGATTATGGAGAATGATCAAAAAGTCCCTGTGCATAGATATCAATGTCCATGCAATCCTCCATGTTTTAAATTGGTTTTTCCAATCATGTGTGATAGATTATTGTGATAGGCCGGTCCACATTTTAATGCTCTTCTTATTCTTTTAAATATTCTATTCCAATTTTATCTTTAATAGCTTAAAAGCTTATTTACTGTAATGCCTTTGAAATTATGATCAAGTCTCATTTAACCTCATGCAAGTTAAAGTGAGTCATTTTACCACTTTGACCAAAGTTTGATGTCCCATATTGCCCCTCACTCCACTCAAAAGTCTGTTAATTTGATGACATGAAAGGGGTCGTTTTGCAGAGATAGAGACAGTGTGAAGGACCTGTTAGTTAGTTAGTTATATGCATGAGGGGATGAAATGATATTTAATTTATATTTAATTTATTATTTTTATGCAAA